TTTTAAGTTTTATAGTTACGTTTTTTATCCAAAGCATACTAGGACCGTGTTTCAAAGTTCCCTTAAAAGAGTAAATTTCAGATTGGTAAATCTTTTGACTTCAGAAGATAAAAGGAAAAAATGTTCTTGTTTGGTGAACATTTACTGCTTTGAAGAAATATAGTTAGTGAGTACTTCAAAATCAGGGGTGACAGGTATTACAGTTGGGTAGGGAAAAAGTGTCAGCAAGTGTCTTTATGGTTTTCTTGAGGATACCGATAAACGTCAGAATTAAATTTAACTTGGTCTTCTTACAACAATTTAATTAGATTTTTTTAAATGAAAGAAATAAAATGCACAGGAAAAAAGTCAAAGTTCTTTTTTTTTGTTGTTGTTGCCCCAGTCCCATTCTCCTGAGGGCAACCGCTAAGATGAGTTCAGTGTGTACCCTACCTTAACGTGTATGTAGTGTTTTGTGAGTGTTTAATGTTATCTTGTTGATACGTTACGCAAGTTGCTTTCTTCGGACAACATGTTTCTGAGACTCTCCCTGTTTTGATACTTGTAGATCTAGTTTATTCATTTTAATTGAAGCCTTGTAGCCCTTTATTTGTTTATTAATTCCTTTATTGATGGACATTTAGCTTTTTGCAACCATTTGCTGTTACAAGCAGTGTTTCCATAAGCTCCTTTCCATGTCTCCTGGCATGCAAGAGCCAGTGTCTCTTCAAGCAAGAATCAGCAACCTTTTTCCATAAAGGGCCAGATAGTAAATATTTTAGGCTTTTTGAACCATATGGTCTCTGTTGCAACTACTGAACTCTGCTGATACAGCATGAAAGCAGCCACAGTGTAGACATTGTAAATGCATGTCCCTGGCTCTGGTCAATAAAACTTTATTTACAAAACACAGGATCTGGCCTGTGGGCTGTGGATTGCAAACCCCAGCTATAGAGGCTGTACCCAGGCTTAGAATTGCTGTGCCAGGGTGTACACGGGTCTTCAGTTCCACCAGACATTGCCGCTTTACTCCTTGAAGTGGCTATACCAATTTACTCTCCCAATGGAATGGACATTCTATTTCCACACATCTGTGCCATCCACAGTCAAGATGGTGAAGACACCCATCACCCTCAAAACTGTCCTATGCCTTTGGTCATTCCATCCTCCTCCTCTTTCCATGCTCCCTCCCCCCCATGCACCATCTCCTGGCAACCACTGATCTGCTCTTTGTCACTATGCTTTAGTTTTCATTTCCTGGAATTAGAGATAAATTGGATCATATAGTGTGTATTCTTTTCTTTTTTTGGTGGTGGGTGTCTGGCTGCTTTTACTTAGCGTAACTGTTTTATGATTAATCCATGCTGCAGCATGCACCAATAGTTTATTCCTTTTTATTGATGAGTAGTGTTCCATTGTGTGGGTATACCAATGTGCTTATCCATTTATCAGTTAATGAGCACTTGGGTTGTTTCCAGCTTGGACTATTACAAATAAAGCTGCTGTGGACATTCATATGCAAGTCTTTGTGTGGACAAATGTTTTCGTTCTGTTGTGCAAATGTAGTAGTCTCTCCCCCTTGTCCTTGGAGGATATGTTCCAAGACCCCCAATGGATGCCTGAAACCAAGCCTAGTACCTAACCCTATATATACTATGCTTAATCCTATACATACATACCTATTTTAAAGTTTAATTTATAAACTAGGCACAGTAGGAGATTAACAGCAATAACTAATAATAAAATAGAACAATTGTGACAATGTGTCAGCATCACTACTCTTGAGCTTTGGGGCCATAATTAAGTAAAATAAGTGTGAACACCAGCACTGCGGTGCTGCTACAGTCCATCTGATAACCGAGAGGGCTGCTGAGTGACTAACAGGCACATAATGTGTTGGATGCGCTGGACTAACGGATGATCCATGCCCTGGGCGGGGCAGCCCAGGATTTCATCATGCTACTCAGAGTGGCATGCAATTTAAAATTTATGAATTGTTTATCTCTGAAATTTTCCATTTAATGCTTTCAGACTGCAAGTAACTGGAACTACAGATAAGGGGGGGATCACTGCCTAGGAGTGGGGCTGCTGAGTCATGTGGTAAATGTATGTTTAACTTTTTATGAAACCGCCAAACTGTGTTCCAAAGTATAGTACATATAATGGATCTAGTCTCTTGTGTCTCACATGTTGTGAGTATTTTTCTAATCTATTACTTGTGTCTCACTTTATATCTTTTTATTTAAAAAAACTTTTCTATTTTGATATAAAATTTAAACAGCCTTTTTCTTTATATATTATTTTTAACCTTGTTTGAAAAATCTGTTCTATCCTGGTTATAAAGGTAGTCTCAATAGTTTCTTTGAATAATTTTAGTTTCTTTTTCACATTGAGGTCTCTTACTGGTCTGGAATTTATATTTTATGTTGTGTGGTAGATATCTGACCCCTCCTCCTCCCTGCCTTTGTAATGCCACCTCTAGTGAGCCCAGATGTCCTTCTCGGGTGTATTTCTGGGCTCTCTGTTGTGTCCTCCTTGTTTTAGGTACTGTATTGTTAAGTCTGGGAAAGACTTCCTAAGTGTTCCCTCCACTCCTCCTCCACTCTCCAGGTTGTCTTGACTATTATTAAATCTTCATGGTTTCGTGTAAATTTTAGAATCAGTTTGTGTGGTTCCATGAGAAATCCTGTTGTGATTTTGGTTGGAATTTACTAATCTTCTCTTGACTTTTACCACTACTCTTCTCCATTGCCTTGCCTTTCTTTGTAGCAAAATGCCTCAAAAGAATTGCACATCTTGCTATCTGCAATTCACCTCTTCCCATTCTCTTCTAACCCCATGAGTGCCCTTGTTGAGGTCACCTGACCTCCCAGCTATATCCAGTGTTTAATTCGCAGTCCTCGTTTTACTGGAATTACCAGCCGCATTTGGGGCAACCGGTTCCTCTCTTCTCCTTGTTTGGCTTCCAGGGTGGTGTGCTCCTGTGGTGCCCCCTTGCCGTGCCAGGCCGCCCTCCCCCTGTCCTTGTTCCTACTCTGTTCTCTCTTATTTTAGTATTGGACTCTTAAAGTTGTTAGCATTTCTCTTCTCTCAAACTAATTTTTTTATAACAAAGTTGACTTCTTTAGTGGTTATATTCCATTTTTCTATTCCTTCTTCAGTTTATTTTGGTAATTAATATTTGAATCAGGTTTAGATTTACCAGTGAGCAAAAGAAAGATCTAAAACAATAGTGGCTTAAATGAGGTAGAAAATGTTTTATCTCAGGGGTCAGAGTCTGGAGGCAGTGGTCCAGGAGGCAGTGGCCCAGATGCCTTCTGCCTCATACCTCCCCATGTGTGACCTCTCATGCTCAGAGCACTTCATGGGTCAAGGTGGCTGTCCCAGCTCCAGCCTTCAAGATTACATTCCAGCCAGCAAGAAGGAGGAAAAAAGGGGAAGGAGAAGGCATGCCACTCCTTTTCTAGGATATTTATTGGAAGTTATGACTCACTTTATATGGGCCAGTACTTTGTCACAAAGTAGACCATAAAATGAAATCTTTATTTCAGGCATCCATTTGCTTAGCTAACAATTGGGGATTCCATTACGACAGGCTAGAACTTGCCAAATTTTCTCCATGCCTGACATGCTCAGAA